ATTCGGTTAGCGACTTTGCTTGCTCGTAATTCTTTGGACAAAATTATGCCGCAGCCACCGTATTAGCGACTTTTTCCTGTTCCCGAGATTAAAAAGAACCAAGAAAGGACGGCGTTTCGCGACGATTGAGGAGATAATGAGAAGTTCCTAAAGCTAGAATAACTTGCCCTCTCAAAAATCAAAAAGGAAGATAAGGGATTCCCTGCAATTAGTATCAGATCGCAGGAACCCACGCTTAGCTGCTGAGCTATATCTCATACTATGTTCGTGTGGTAAAGTATACATAAGAACTACACAAAGGCCATGAATACTACGATAATGAAGCACTAATGAACTGTTCTGTATATATAGAGTAGGGAGAGTGAGTGTACATCCTCCCGAGCAGTTGTCCTTCTAGGTCATCGTCCATCCTGTCCTTTCAAGGAAGGTGGACAGGTCACTGGGAGACATCTCCTTTATATCGGCAGGTGTAGGCCAAGACTCGCCGAACACACACTCTCTTATTGACGATAACTCCGGGCACTCGCACAGGACATGCCTGACAGTCTCATCTTTCTGTTCACACATCGTGTATTCTACTATTAGGCGTAGATTTTTCCTGATCATCGCGAGATATTTCTTCTGCGCCAACTTCCCAGGGTCGCCCAAGGTGATCTACCGAGGCTTTGGCTAAATCTTGGTGGCACTCTAGTACTAGCCCTGATGTAACACGTTGTCTGTTCAATGCTAATAGGGCTTGTCTGCTGTCAGTGCATATCGTTATGTTTTTGCCAGAAATTCCTTTCTTGGTTATTACTTTTGTGACGATTGAGATACCAGCCAGTTCTGTTTGGACCACGCTGGTATTTTTTCTCCCATTCCCCACTTAATCCTTAGGCCTAGTGATCTGGAGTATACCCTGAACCTTCTAGGGTCAACTGTTAAACCAACAGTAGCGGAATATGCGCTTAGTGAGAAGATCACCAAATCCTCTTTGAAGGAGTTGAGTTAATTTGGGAGGTGATTGGAATTCACGAACACACGGATAATTTCAATAGGAAAGAAGAACCTGATCCTCTCCACAACAAAAGTAGCACCACAGCGTTCCTCACAGTTGGCAGGGCCTCCTGATGTTGGTAGCGTCTTCTCAAAAGTCAAGAGGCGTTGACTATTTACATCCACACCGTATTGAAATCTGGATATTTCCGACAACTAGTCTTAAAATAATTTGATAAGTTAGTGCAATAAAAAATGGATGCCATAGTATCTATTCTACTTCGAAATACATGGTATCTCACAATATACTTGTTCTATGATTCGCATACCTACTATAGCGCCAAAAAATTTAGGTAATGACCACGTGCCCCGAGTAAAAATTTCCTGTCGCGCCCATGTCGGGGTTCGCCCGGTTTGGGCGCTGGGCCGGCAAGTATCGACTCGGGATGCTTCCATTTTATGTGATGCCGGCTTAATATCTCGGATAGTGGAGTCGAGCGGTTTCAGTACACACGACAGTTGTTTGAGCGACCGGCGTTGGCGGGGCGGAGAGGGGGGACGGTCGCGGAGAGCCAGGTTCACGCTGCCGAACGTTTGGTTATTGTTTTATTATTTGGTTTAATTGATTCGAAGCAGGCGTTGCAGCGAACTGGCGACGCTTTTGACGACGACGTCTTCTTCGATCTTCGTTTGTTTATTCGGCGCTCACGTCGCGGGAGAGGGGTTTTATCGGAGTTTTGGGAATTGATAAAATCGTTACAAGTTGGCGTTTAGGCTTGTGAGTTGTTGATTCTGAACTTTAATCGATGTATCGCTCTAACCACCCGTATACCTACTGAAGGTATATAAGGTTTAACTGAGTTTCCATCTGGCAATCTAAAACAATGATTTTCTAGGTTCAGTATCCACGGCTCTACGTTAATATAAGAGCGGCGACGGCTAGTAATTCATATTTCTACTTTGAAAGTACATTATGCAGTATCCAATGAAAGAACAGGAGCACAAATATGAACTCTTATACACTTTCTAGACTATGATTTCAATGACTGTTTTTCATTGAAGTAAATCTGATCAAATAAAATTTCAGTTTCGACAGTATTTGGGGCAAAGACCCAGAAGCCTTCTGTAGGGTAGCGAAAGCATCTATCCATAAATTCATGGATGCAAGCCGAGTTCATAAAGAAACCATCGCCCATATTCACGAAAGACCTGCTAAACCACAACCGTACGGTTTTAAAGGTAGTGGTGGTTCTACTAAATGCAGGTTCTGTTAAGAAGAGGAAGAAACCGCAGCTATATGAAGGGGTCAGTGTCAAGGCAATGGAGTCTCAGCAAAGAGATCGAGCTATACAATGAGCTCTAACAACCAAGGAGCATCACTATTCATCTGAGAAGGTCGCAGTGAATCTGGCCATGGGCCAGCTCCTCGACAATCTGTTCTATAAAGTATTCTACTGGTACTTCTAACCTGACGATCCTAGATTTTTCCAGCTGAATAATCTCAAAAATAAAGTGTGCTAAAGTAGACTCGTATAAAAGACTCACTGCTGTATCTATTACTACATTCTTTCCGGAAATTTGAAATTATCACCCCTCTCCAAACGAACAATGAAAAACTTCAAGGGGGAGATTAAACTATTAAATCTTCCTCTTGGAGATGATCACGTGGTTATCGAAACACGTATCGGGGTGTAAAAAACGGTTTGGTGTTGTAAAAAAACTGCAGTAATATTTATAATATTGCTTTTTTGTATCTAGAACAAGCAAAGAAATAATTAATGAACAAAAAGGGATAATTGAAATTGACTGATGATTGTGAATTTCGGTGTCAAAATAAATTACTTGACAAAGTCGAACTTTGGTATTGTCCGGCAGTTCATTGCCACCTAACCTAATAGTGTAATCGATGAAGGTTATATATGTGTTGTTGTAATATAACTCTCATTTTGCCATATTTGGAGATATTAGGCTGTTTCAAAAGTTTTTCCCGTTTTAATGACATGTGTTTTTGTAGTTCCTTATCTCAATTAATATTTATTCTTCTGAGTCGTGACATATACTGGTCGATAGAGAATTTGATACTCAATACATTGATGCTGTTGATTTTTATCCAAATTTAATTTTGTTGCATCTTCAATTTATCACTTACTATATGTCGTTGAGCGATTTTTGGCAAATCACGCCAAATCCACCAGGCTTTTGGTAATGACATCGTTAATGAACGCACTGTTCAACGTTGGTTTGCGAAATTTCGTTTCGGAGATTTTAGCCTCGAAGATGAGCCCCAAAGTGGTCGGTCTACATTAAACCAGATCGTGGATTTGAGGACCCTTGTGGAGACTGACCCATCATGAACGGTACGTGGGATGGTGCAAGAACTTGGAGTTAGCTCCCATGCGGTTTTTGATGGGGTTGAAAACGTATTGGAAATTTCAAAAAGCTCGAACAGTTGGTTTCCTCCGATTTGAACGATCGACACAAAGTGTCATGTTTCGAAGTACGTTCTTCTGTGCTTTTGCGCAACCAAAACAATCTTTTTTGGATCGGATCATCACTATATCTTTCTGTAACCGAGCCAGACCATCACAGCTGAGTCCTTATGTGAGGAAATCGAAAATTACATAGGCAATGGCCAGCACCGTCCGAAAACTAAACGAACTTAGCGTCAAAGTCCTGCCTCAACCACCATACTTTCCAGATCTCTCGCCAACCGATTACCAACTTTCATGCCAACGGAATCAATTAATTGAGATATTACAGTTCAAATAATACTCATAACATAACTTTTTAAATAACCTAATATAATATTTTATTTTTCCATCAAGGTCAGTCTACATGATACTGAAAATGAAAGAAAAATTGATCAGGGTCAAAATACACATTAATAAAGCAACACACCAATTTTTCATATGATCGTCAAAACTTATTAAAAAATTGGATGAAACCAGCCCAAATTAGATGAAAATTTCGCTTGAGGAAACATGAAAAACACAGTAAACTTGATTAGTAAGTTTTGAGAAATATTCAGTTGAAGGTATACACAAGTAAGTATAAATAACAAAAATTCATTTTTAATTTATTTCAGTTCTGCAGGTACGATTGAATACCTGTTTTACCTGCTCAAATGCGAGATATTCCTGTGAAACTAATGAAACTAAGTAATAATCCACTTTATTCATCACAAGAGATAGAGGATATCTCATTTGTATTTACATTACATTAATTGAAGATAACATTATAACGAATGGACGAAGTGTCAGCTAAAGCTGTTTTTCAACTTAACCCTGTATAACTTCGTATAACTAAGACACCTACAAAACTATGAAAGCACAATACTTATGAAAGATACAAGGTTTCAAAATTTTATTACGATAACACATATTGTATGTAGCTGAATTAAAAAAAAATCACTGGGAGCAATTTAAATATTGAATTATTCGCCTTGCTTCACTAATAATTGAAATTAAAAAATGTTAGTTACGATATTTCAAATATGTTTCTGAACTTTTATTGTATATTTTTAGTAATTTTCTCGTGAATTTTGGAAGATTTAAAAAAGTAGGTACCTACCTACATTGGAAAACAATTTTTCAGTCAAAAAGTCATGTCTGTATCTGCATGATATATTTAAATTTTCTAGTTCATTTCAAATCATTACCTGATTTTGTTTTAATATGTTGAGATCGAGGTTTAAACAGACGTTTACGCCCTAAATACTTCATCGCATTAACCTTTTGCCTAAAAATTGATATAACCTTATTCAAATCTTCGCATGGCATTTCATAACCTGAAAACAGGAAACGCCTCGTATGATAGTATGAAACCGCATTGGAAGTATTTCCCTTCTCAGCGATTATTTACCGCATTTAAAATGACAGCCGTTTCTCTTACTAGAATAAGAGAGCAATTAAACGTTACAATTTCAATCGTTATCAATTTCCAGGGATCCTTCAATTCTCGCGACAAACAGACCGTTCCTTATCTAGGATATTTACGCCTGAAATTGTCATGCAGCATAAACAAACCTGAATTATAGCGAATCCATCAGGTATTTACAGATCCCTTCGTTAGGATGGTTGGCAGACTCGAAGAAATTCGACGGAAAATTAAATACTCCAGTCACACGGCAAGAACAGCAGCTCGTCATCGATAAACGATTGAATTATCGTCAAATACACCGATAAAAAATGTACGTACAACTCCGATTAATAATAGAACTTCGGCACTAAGAGCGTTTGATACTCTGCGAAAAAAATACAACAAACCAACAACGACAGGAACGGCGCACACTTCGCGCGGACGATAAAAACACACACACAAAACCCGAAATGAGTAATCAACGTGTAATTTTTCCAGTGTGCATCTGGCCTCGATGCACGGAACGAAGAGAGAGCCAGAGAAGCGAGAATGAAAGCTCTGGTGGACGTTTACGGGGGGTTCCGTGCACGGCGGGAGGGGGGTTGGCAAAGCAATCGGACTGACACCAAGCCTAGGTCCGGCCATCTTGTGACGATGAAACGCTCCTGATCTCGTCTTCGAAACACCCCCGAAATCGTTAAAAAATATTGGAATATTAGTGCAAATCGTTCGTGAATTGTAGCGGCGGTGCTGCCGAAGCTGGACTCACGTGCAATTGTTCGGCGGTTTGCAGATAACTAAATAAATAGTTCGTTAATTGTTTCTGTGCTGCGATTTTGTGTGTGCGACTTGCGAGAATCGGATTTCCTACAGATGTTACAAGTAAGTAACCTGATTGTTGTTAGTGGTACCGTTCAGAGCAAGTTTCCCAACTGTTTGAGACGTGAAGTCATCGACTTTCAACCCTTTTTCGGGCCTTTCCTCTCTGAAATTGCACCTAACCCTACTAATTTCGCCCCAACTCGCCTACTGTGAATAAAACTCCCCACGAAAAAGGTAGAATCAACTTGATTGTTGGTTAGCGACAATAACAACGTTGTTTTCGAGCCCAGGCGACTCGATAATAACACGTTCATTTGTGAATGTGTTTGAGAAGACCTGGAATATTCCGAAATTTCGAGAGATTCCATAATATCTGTCTCGTACCTTCATAAATTAGCCCACAGCTGCATTCTCGATGTACACGGCAGGCTGATTGACCGTCTCACAAAGCAGCATTCTTAAAGGCCCCGTAGTACAGTGAAATTAAAGTGGAAAAAGCCCCGACTAGGGAAAAAAGTTCTGAGTAGTGACAGTTGATCATTTACTTTCACACTGAAAGGGGTAAAAATACAATGAGAGTTGTAAATTATCTCAACTGGAATCGATAGTTTCCATATTTGGATATTATAATGTGATTCAATATACTTACAGGCATTTAGAACGTACGTAAAAGGTTTTCATGTGTGTTTCTTGATATGTAACAGGTTTTAAGAACATTGACATGAAAAATGTGTTCACTTCTAAAATCATTTTATGGGGAATCATTTAAGTAAGTTTCGTAGAGAGGATTTGATTCATTGCTTTGTCTTTTTAGGATAAAACGTTTCAAAAAGTATTTGGAATTTTCGTCAATAGTAATTTTAATGGAACAATAAAGCTTATGTTGTGAAATTTCGTCAACTTCACGGTAATGAGTTCCTATCAAAGGACAATGAAATGTACAAGGATTTGAGTAATTTAATTCAGGTGTATGTTGATTGTTTCATGTTGGAAATTGTTTCAGAAGATTGCCAGCATTAATTCAATAATAATATCGTCTTCATTATTTTATCAACAATAGATAACAAAAAAACAACAGTGATTTATTGCTAATGAATGGCGAAGTTCATAATCAACACAATGCAAGCATAAGTAGAACATGTTCTTCTGTGTAAAACCCTATAAAACCAAAAGTAAAGACGAATCAAAATCAAACCGAACACGAACAATCCACACACTAGTTCATGTAAACACTCCTTGAGTTTGTGACGTAAACAGATGATTCCTTAGACTTGAGTTTTTGTAAGTTTTCAGTGCAACCGACAGAGAATTATGAATGCAAGCGATTTGATACCTGGAGAACCGTTTGTACATTTCTATTTTGAACTTTTGTGTGACAAGGCAACCTATATTTCTATTTTCATTATTGAATTTGTGAATAGTTGTGGGATACGTAATTTTTCTGTGAAGGTACTTTCACTACTGTTTCATAATTGTTATATTCTGATATAAACCAGTTTGCAATGCGACGTTTCATTCATTAGATCTCATCAACTTTATTTTCTTAATACGGACATCGGGACATCTAGTTTTTTTCATCGATTTTTGTAGCCACTGCCATAACAATGTTAACATAGAGCAATATGTTTATATTGTTTATATTGAATTTTCTTGAACCTTTTTGAAACAGTTTGATATCAACAAGGCGCCTGGTCCTGATGAAGTGCCAGTCATCGTAATCTTCCAAATAACTATAGATCAAAAATCATGGAGAAAGCCGTAGACTACCATATCCTTGAATTGGAAGGCTTCAACATCTTGAGCGATCATCAAAATGGCTTTCGGAAACAAAGATCAACAAGCGACCTTCTGTCGTATGTCACCCATATTTGGAATAACGCAAAAAGAGAGTCAAGAGCTGCTTCTTTTGATATTTCTAAAGCCTTTGGCCGCATGTGGAATGAGGATTTGCTGATCAAACTTCGATGCTATGGCATATCGGATCATTTTTAGGTATGGCTATCCAGCTTCCTGAAATAACGTTTCCTAAAAGTGGCCGTCGGTGGATATTTCTTGATTACTTTCACCATCGGGGAATCATATGGTCTCCAACCCTCTTTTTTATTGTATGACAACGACTAATTGGAAAACAACAAAAATCCAGTACGCTGCTTTGCTGACGACAGCACATCTTCACCGGCAGAAGGAGGTCGCATATCTTGATGAGGATCTAGAGGTGACTTTGAATTGGGGGAGTCAAAATGGACATCAATATGTCTTGGCACAATCATGTTGCTGGAATTGAAAAGGCTGCTTCACAAAAGCTTGGAACACTGTTCCGAACCAGAAAACTGTATACACCTCAGCAACTTTTGATGCTTCATAAAGCTTAAATCACACCTTCAGAGTATTGTTCTCATGTATGGAGCTCCGTCCCTAAGCCTCCCTTGAAGCTGCTGGATTCCAGGCAAAGTGCCATCCGCCTAATTGGAGACTCGAACATTATTTGCAACCTTGATAGTCTGGAACATCGAAGAAGGCTTGGAAATTTGTCTCTCTTTCATAGATTCTTTCACCGCTGTAAGAGCGCTTTACGGATTTTCCTGTAGTCTTTGTGTTCAGTCCTTGAAAAAAAGAGAATGCTCGTTGGAGAGAAATTTAGGGCTCATGGAGAGTTAACCGTCGAAACTGAGGCCTATTCTATGTTTGTCTACGAACCTGATATTCCCTATTTTTTCCCACTGCCCATTTTTTTGCCTAAGTACTAGGGACTTTTCACCACGTTCGGCTCAAAGGCTAATTAATGAACACATTCGTAACACTCGCGCCTCCATAGTTTAATCACCGCGTTTCTTTCCAATTTCACTGTACCATCGACGTGGCTTTCTTCGTTTTCAACGATGTAGGTAAAGATACACCTACAGAATTCCAGTTCTTTTACCGCTGCTGTCGCCTAATGAATTAATTTCGATATCTCTCGTCTTGCATGCGCGTATGTGTTTGTGTCTCCGTTCTGCGATGCCAAAATGGTCGCTGGTGTAACCTCGATTTTTCTTGCCGTGTATACACATACCTATTTATAAGTTATTCGAGAGCAATTCGTTTTTGTGGATGTGAAATCCTGTTATAATGAGAATGTGAGCGAGTACAGAGCGGCGGAAGCCCGATTCACACCGCAAAAGCGGATTGATACGGAGATAATCGGAATATTAATCGGCCAGCCTGTATGGCGGATTCGGCGACGACGCTGCTGTCGCTAGATGACAATTTTTTTGTGGGCCGGTTCAGAATCTGGTGTATACTGTCGTCAAGATCATAGTACTGAGAAATTTTTATTCGGAGAAGAGGGAGGGCACAATTTTTACGTAAAAAGGTATTAGTCCAGTCGAATTAGGATTTGACAACGCAAACATTTTTACTGGTTGTTACATTTTTTTATAAAGACGTTCTATTAGTTTAATGGTCAAGAAGGCAGAAAACAAGTTGAATTATTTATTGCATAATGCTACCAGTATTTAAATTAATCCTTCGAGTCGATGAAAAATATTCGTCGTAACCTTTGCTTATCCTTTCATTTTGAATCCAGTTATTTTTAATTATAACTTATTATCATAACAATCTTGAAAAGCATCAAAATGAGAGTTTTTGATGACCTATTGAAATGGAAACCTCATGTTTCCGGATTTTTTTTGTGTTCCATTAATGTATCGCTTCTTTCGTTACATTTATTTTGTATCAACCTATATCTATGATGAATAAACATAAAATATTTTTACAACTTCACAAGGGAATACTATCAGAAAACAACTACTCCCCTGGCTAATACCACGAAGAGCTTTTTGTTTGCTGAATAGGCTCCGGAACTAGCCAAACGTCACACCCATGCTCAATCCCTAAAGATATGGGATGGAATCAAATAATGCAATCTTGCCAGGATCATCCAGGACGACCCTGGGAAGCTGGCGCCGAAGAAATATCTGGCGATGAACAGGAAAAACCTTAACGGTAGGATTTCTGACTGGCCCCTGTCAACTAAGGAAACACCTCCTTAATGTGGGGCTTGTCGACACACCCATATGCAGGATGTGTGAACAGGAAGATGTGTTTCACGAGTCTTGGCCTACACCTGCCGATATAAAGGAGATGTCTCCCAGAGACCTGTCTACCTTCCTGGAAAGGACAGGATGGACGATGACCTAGGAGGACAACTCCTCGGGAGGATGTACAATGGGTCACATGTAGCCTAAGTGCTGTGGACCTACACTCACCCTCCCTATTCTACAGATACAGATAGACCCCATGTATAAACAAATTATAAGAGAAAACATTATCTAAATTGGAGCTACTTCTGAGGTCTCCCGAGGAATAGCCTTCGTTGATGCGACTATATCACCAGGTCGAAAAATATCTCGGCGTGGGTCATTCCACTCCGCGAGCGGTCTTTCATCGCGGCGCCCCGCGTCCCGGTGAATCTCACCACAGCCGCCTCTGACGGAATAATTCGCAGGCAGGCAGCTGTCTACGGTCCGTCGTCCCAAACTTGGCCGTTATCGCGAACAAAAACGGTTATATGGGCATGTGTTTGTGCTGTTAAACACCAGTACAAACGGTGCATGAGTAATACCGATTGTTTTTTTCGGAGCGAAGGTGCCAAATCTATTCGAAGAGTATAATTGTAGTTTCCTTTAGAGAGTTTTCAAAAAATATTCACTGATGGCCTTGAGAATAACCGGACAATCAGTTGATTTTTCAATATTCAACAGCGGCAATTCTCTCTCTGGCGCGTGGTAAAAGACACGGACGATAAATGGTTTCAACGCGATTTCTTGTTCTGTCAATAATAGCGCTTGTGATGTGCTGAATGCGAAACAAAGCATAAATGACAGGCAGGTGTTTGCTGTCTACAGACAATTCTTCTTTGGACGCCCTTCCTTACTACTTAGATGACAGATGACATTACTGTCAAATATTAGTTTCAGCAAACACACTTGTAAATAATCCAGTCCAGTTTATACAGTCCGTTTTTTTAGCTGATCTTACTATTGCCGTCTCGGAAATTGTGGAATTGAACAAAAGT